TTGAAAGCAATTCTCTTGGTTGTATGCAGCAATTCCAAAGCAAATATTGATGATATCTCAAAAGCTAAACGCCAGTTTCACAAATCTCACAAACCTTTTTTTGCTGCTTAGTTTGTGAGATTCGGATATGTGCGCACTGGGTGTGATATAACTATCTTATTGCTAACGTCACCTTTTTTTGATAACTTTTTGATAAATAAACATGTTTGTTGTCTTTATTTTTTGTGTATTCACTGTATTGTATTGAACAAAATGTTATGCGGCCCGCGCTCGTCATTCTCTCAGTTATCTGGCCCGCTGTGAAAAAAGTTTGGTGCCCCCTGGTCTAGTGGAAAGATTTAACAGAACTTTACAAGACATAATCTCACGATACTATGAAAGAGATAAGAGAAAACCTGGAATGAGCAGATTCCCTTGTTATTGTTGGCATACAAAAGTACTGGAAATGAATCCACTCAAGAAAGTCCCTATTTTCTCTTACATGATAATAAGGTTAGGAGACAAAATGTTATTATACACCCCAATAGTTAAAAAGGGAAACACTAAGCTGGCAAAATTGTGGAAAAAAAACTTTCAAAATCATTAGACAAACAAGTCCAGTTAATTTTGAAATTCAAGAGATTTATAGAAAATATAAGCAGATAGTATATGTGAATAGGTTAAAGAAAGTAAAAGACTATAAACCTTATCAGTTTGAATGTTTAACTGATGAAACAAAGACAGACAATCAAAGCAAGAAAACTCTACTGTCATGCTGTTAAGCAGAGAAACATAGAAATCAGGGATATAAAGATATTGACGGTTAAACTAACCCTCATATAAATGAAAAAGTTTGTTTCGTGGTCACATGTTTATTTCCAAACTAATCGATAATTTTGTGGTTTATAGGTATAAATTTAGATTGGAAATTACACCTAGTTTAACACGCTTAAAATAATCAATAATCGTAAACCTTCCGTTTGTTTAACTTTGGTAATGCTGAAGTCGACTGTGCCAATAAAGATGTTCGATTGACGTATTCCAAGAAACATAACATACATATTAAAATGTTTATAAAATACGATACCACAGAAATGAAGGGATAAATGAACAAAATTACTTTGAAGAAAGTAATTCAGAAAATGCTAAATTTTATAGGGAAACTTCTGATTATGGTTAAATATTATATTAAACTAAAATTTCAATAATAGACATGGACATAGCACAGATAGTCTATTCTGTAGCTTTATATTTAATAAAAGCAAATTCATCAGAATATCATATTTCATCAGGACAATTCCTGACTAAGTTTAAACATTATATTAGTCCAAAGTCTTTGTAATCAAAAACTTCCATCACCTGTTTTCCACCTAGTCTTTAATAAATAATTGTTAAACAAAATTATTGTTAAATATCAAGAGAACAATTATTACAAAATTTGGTATCTTATGCATCAGCCTAGTACACACAGGGAATTTGTATGTTCTGTATGCATATCAATTTTTCCCTAAATGCTTCCCATATCTGTTCAAGCTCCCCTCCCAACTCTTTAGTCCAATCTACAGATGCCAGATCATGTGTCATTCCATTAAAATTAGCTTTCCTGAAATTTGGACTCAGGATACTATTCTTCTTCAATTCTACATGTAGTAAAATCCCACACCTAATAGTGCAATGGTTGCTTGTACTCAAATTATCACCAACCACAACTCTGTCTATTATATTCAAGTCTAATATAGCTTCCTCTCCATCACCATCACCAGTTGGTGTATAAAAGTATCCTGAACAATTTCCAAAACCTATCCCCTTCACAATTTTTCCAATCAATACCCCTGAAATTAAAATCTCCCATAATAATAACATCTTTTTCAGCTACCATTCTGATCTCATTATACAATTTCTCATAAACTTCTACATTCTGACCTGGTGGTCAGAATGGTGGTCTATAGCATATACTGATTACAAGACTTTCCCCTTTATATCCACTAGCATCAATCCAAACTGATTCAACCTCAGTGCTATTTTCTTTAATATGCTCTGTTCTAGATGGAGATTCTTAATTATATTGTGTAATGTTGCCTGGTGCACAAAGACAACTTTTGGCACTTACCTTTGTGTTCGTGGATTGACACGTGTAACAAGGAGCTGAACTTTTCTTACCATAGCAGGGGTACGATTTGTTATCTTTCTTGATAGTCCTGGTGCCAAATGTTGACCCATATTCCATTGTTTTCCAGTCACATTAAGTACAAAGTGAATCGTAGGCTGTCTTATAAATTTTAAATACCCAATATGAATACATGTTAATGATTTGAGTGTATGAATATTTTGCGTGGGAAAGGGCTGTTATAAACCATTTTCAAAAGTGATTAAATTTCGGTGACATCACACTACATGTAGCTCTAATATATTCCGTTCCACCGCGACTTTATATTGGCTGTGCTTGTCACGTAGCATGCTGATTTGTATATTCAAAATAATTTGATATAACAATAAGGCATGTATAGAATGAATATGATGTACTCAACCCTCTGTATAAACAATACCTTCAGCCTCAAAACCAGCTTTGAAATTCGCTTTAATGCTTTTATGAATAATTGTAAGCTTGAAATTATTAAAAATCACACTCTCGTCAATTATATATCAAGGAACATATAGATTATGTAGAGCAAAATATAATTAATTGTATTGTTACTTTAACAACTCTTTTAAATAACTCAACTGAAAAATATGTTTATCTTTACGTTACTATTTTTAAAATTAAGTAACATAGTTGGTTTATATCTAAATTGTACGGTTTGTGATGAATCACTCTGCAGAATATACGCAGGAAGGAATTTAAAATTATTTTTTCTCAGTTGTAACATCTTTTAGTAAAATAATGTTGAATTAAAGTTCAAATATTATTAAAATGAAATAAACTTGATCCCTTGTTTATCTTTACTGATATTTACATATATTATATATATATATTATCAATTATTCGTTATAAATATCACTTGACTAACAATATCCGCACCGTGAACTCAGAGTGAGAAGAGAAAATGGCGTCGGTTGACGCAGGGGATTGGATGTGTGATGTTATATCTATTTTAACTTCTTCGCAGAATTCTGTGAATAAAAGTCATATACCACAGATAGTCAAATCCATCTTGTACAGGTGAGTAGAGTAATGAAGGGTTACTTGTTTATATGTGGATATTTTTTACCTTTGTAATAATCTGCATTTGTATTTGTTCGTAAGTACTTGTAGTTGTATAAAGTAGAATGTAAGCTGTAGGCTGGGATTCGTGAATCATAGTCGTAGTACCCTATTGGTTTAGACAGGGCCGACTTAAATTTGGAATTTTCGTACTTATCTGTATTTGAATTTTTTAATACCATCACCAAATAACCCCCGCCCCAACACACACACTTGCGTTTGTATTTTTGTAGTCCTACTATAACTGTACAAACCTTTGCTTCCCAAGTTCCTGCGCCCTGCCGGGAACAGGGAAATAATATTGATAAGTTATACGAACCTTCCTAGTTGAATCGTCTATGTAATAAGAGTAAAGAATTATACAGCTAACAAACCACTTGCATTACTAAGAATAAATATGAAGCCCAGTCTATCATTATATTCATTACTTGACACTGAGTTATACTGGTTTGGGGGAATTTAACCTCTCGTCAGTAACCCAGGATAAGGGCAAATCAAAGGAACAAGACTAAACTTCTTATATCAGTGGAATCTGTATTGTATGTATGGTGTTTCAAGTTGTTTTCTTGCAACAGTGAACCTGTATTTACACAAGAGTTGAATAATATATAGCATTCTGAGTTATTCTGCAGACAGTCTGTTTAAAATGCTAAAAATAAATGTATTTGTATAGTAATTAGAGCTCTATTGGAACATTACTTCACAATACAGTATGTATCATGTTATGATACATGGGTCATGACATGATGCATGGAACAAAGTCAGTGAATTAGAGCATAGCAACAACCTGTGGAGCAATCAGCTTATTATATTTGATGATTGGATTAGGATACAGCAAGTTTGATGTTAATATTGCAAGTGCATTGAATAGTATACTGACTGTTAGTTTCTAACAAAAAACACTTCGGGAATGACATTTTAATACAGAGCACAGAACTGCTGAGTTACAGGTGGGTGCCACACTTCAGTTGCCATTGTTTTGGTAGGACCAATTATATCTGTATATTTGTATCAGATGATTGTGCCAGGGATTGAGCATACAGGCTGGTTTGGTAGAGAATTACAGCTGTCTTCTTGGGATGGCTGGTAGAACTAATGGGCAGAAATATTGCGAGATGTATGGTTTGGTGGTCATTATAAAATGTACATATCATGGAACAAAATATATGATTTATTGATACATCATTAAGCAGTAATAGTAATATAGCTTGAATTAGATTGTGAGTCTTTGTAATACTTAAGTGTCAATTTGAGTTCTAAGCATTTTTTTTTTCTTCTTGCAATATTTCTTATTAATTTTAACATAACTTATAATTAAAATATGTTGTATCTAATTTAGTCATGACTTAATGAAATACTAGAAGTTTACTGGTAGACAATTTCACTGCCCCCCCCCCTACCCTGCTAAAAATAATGGCACCTTTTCTCATGGTTTAACCTCAGTTCATCAAATTGTTAAAAGATGACAATATCCAATTTATTAACAACAGATGTTTGAATGGAATGTCGTACATTATATCTTGGTAAAAAAAATATATAAAGTGTAAACATAATAAAGTGTGATGAGCATTGAAACATTTAGTTTTATTTTATAATATTATACAAAATGAGGATATGAATCTGATCTGGTAAGATTTGGTCATACAATACATTCTGAGACAGATAGCAAAATGCTCTATCTACATTTAAAGAGATTCATGAGATGGCAAGAATAGGTACCTTTCCAAACGTTAGGATAAGATCATGTAGTCTAATTCTTATACTTTATATGGAGCTTTTCACTTGTAAATGTTGTGAAGTACTGTTTTATCTTTTAACATTTACTTTAGACTGAACTGTCTGCTTTTTAGCAGTTTTACCATAAAAATTAACTTTAGTCTTGATTATTTCCATGATATTGGGGTTCTCTTTGAATCTGTCAGGTGACTGTTAGTTTTAAATATTTTCTTTAATGTGTTTAAACAGCTAATTGCTAACTGTTTTATTGAAACAAATAAAATATTTTCACTAAAGTGCTTAGAGAATGTTGATACTTGAAAACAAGTATATCTATCATTGTCTTATGGCAAAGTCATTTTTTTCACTAAGCATTTTTATTGTTTTTACAGTTATATGTAAATAGAATTTCAATTTAAGAAGTGTTAATACTTTGGTAATATTTCAAGTAGCTGATCACTTAAATGAATTTTTAAAATAGATTTTCCAGTTTATTTTTAAGCTCTCATAATTCAGATTTGTAGAGTTCAATTATATCTGATTTTGTGGTCATAAAGATTTCCTAGTTCCACGAGTTCATAGTGTTTAAATATGGAGACAACTAAGCTAAGGTCTGCAACACAGTTTTTACTTTTATAGGAACTTAACCCTAGAATGCACACAGAATTTTTGTGAAACTTGCCCTGTATACAGTGCACTTGCAGTCAACTGCTGGAGGCAGACCATACCCTATATGCCAAATCGTCATTAAATGTGTTAAATTTCCAGTTCTTAATATTTGGTTCCTTAATTTCATTCTTATGTAATAAATACTTGTTTGCCATATGAGGTGTGTTATAATAAATTAGTTTATGATTCCTTGGTTAGATGTATAAATTATTGGTCATCAATCTCCTTCAACAGACAGAAGACTGACCACTGAATCTATCCTTTACCCTCCAAGTATTCATGAACCCCTTTTTTCTAATCTAATCTAAAATTTCAGTGTTTACCAACTTGAATGGCATTTTGTTTGAAAGAAACCACATCTTTGTAGAATTAAAACTTTCCAAACTGGAGATGTGTGTGTGAACATATATATAATATATATAATTATATATATATATAAAATATATAATCTTTTTTTGTTTTAATTTGACCTCTTGTCCTTCTTCCCTAACAATTCAGTGCAAAAAAACTCTGATGCCTCAATCTTATTTCTGTTAACATTTTTGAAGACTTCAGTTAGGTCATCCTTCACACTCCTCTTTTTAAAAGAGAACTAGTTAACAGATTTCAACCTAACCTCATGACAACCACTTCATCTCTTAAACCTGCCTGGTAGCCCTCTTCAACAGTTCGATGTTCATTCAAAGCTCAAGGGTCCTAAACTACACACAATACTCCAAATGAGGCCTAGTTAGTGATTTGTACAATGAAACCATGACATCTTTAGAGTTGTTAATATATATACAACCTGAAATAACTATGGACAACAAATGACCATTTACCATTTGATTCATCAAGGCTCCCTGCACAATCACCTCTGAAAAAGTAAAACTTTACTTTTATAAAGTGATGGCCTCCACTGCTGTTTGATGGCAAATTGTTCCATAAGCCAATCACCCATAAAGAGCCTCGCCTGTTTTTTACAAATCTTAAACTTGCGTCATTTCTTCCTGTTGTCTTCAGAATACAGCAAAACCAAATCAGAGGCATTTATCCTATTGGTCATCAGGATAATACTTTAAACTTCTGTAAGATCACTTTTTATGCTTATTTTCTCAACAGAAAGTAATTTAACAGCTCTTAACCTTTTCATGCAAGATGCCTTCCATTGGCAGAATCATTCTAGTAGCTCTCATCCAAACCATTTCCAGTAAGTCAATATCCTCTCTTAGATAAGGAGCCTTCTGAACAGATACTTTTGGAAACAAAAGATTAATCTGAAATGCAATTTTTTACACACCTCAGTGTCAGCAAACTAAGAGGAATTAAAAAATCTGCAGTGTAATGTAATTTTTTTTTTGTCACAAATATTAAGTCTATTTGTTCACAATTTGCTCACAGCTTTTGCCATTCAAATGTGTGATTGTTTAATGTTGTGTAAAAGTTATTTATAGAAAATTGCATATGAAGTGTTTAACACAACAGGTAAGGACAAAAGTTTCTTCATGTAGAACAGTTCTAACATTTTATGAAAGTTTTACATTCCAGATAAAACATTCCTTAATATTTCCCCAAAAATGATATTATCTTTTAGTTGGTTCCGAATTAGAGCTGGGTGATTTGTGGTATTTGCTACTTGATTATCAGTGATCTCATTAATCAACTGCATTGGATTAATCAATTAATATAGTGTTCCTCAAACCATGGTACTTGCAAGCAAAATTTAAAAAGTTGGTAGCAGGTGCTACTAGGCAGTTGCTTTTTCTCTAATCAGTAATTCATAAATAATTGGCATATAGCCTTATTAGCCCTTCCACAATAAAGACAGAGCAAACAAGGTTGATAGCAATTGGAATTGAACCCGAGGTTCTCGATTAATGAATAATCACACCACATCTCAGAAACTTGTAGTAAAAAAACAAAACTCACTTATGAGGCTAAAATTAGGCAAAGCACAGATAGTGCTTAACAACAACAAAATAATCATGGAGAAATATTATAATTACTTGGATGGTTGGAATAACCAGAAAGTAGTAATAATTAGTAATTAGAAACTGCAATATCGTGCACTGATTATTTTTTGCCAATCGATTTAATCGTAATTTTGATTAGTTTGTATGACACTAATTAAGGTAATTGCTGCTCATGAGTAATTGATTAAATCACTTGGCTTTGTTCCAAACAATTATTACAATATAAATCCCTCTATTTCATATTTTTAAAAAATGCCTGAGTTTTGAGTGAAAAGCTTGTTTTATAGTAGCAAGCATAAACTGTAAATTACAATTTGTTGCCAAGGTAACTAAAGAGTGAATTTACTTTTAATTTCTTTCAGACATATTAGTATTTTATATACATATTATTGGCAAACTAATCATTTTGGCATTTTTTTTATCATCCATATTAACTTATTCAATGGTAGCTTTGCACCACATCAGATTACTTGAAGATAAACATGATTTCAAAACTAATAGCCATAGTTTTTAAGATACAGACCATATTTTGCGATATCTGTTAATTCTAATGCTAAGCTGTGTATTAAAGCATTGCTTAACAAAGTGTATAGTGGACTATACATTAATTTTTACTAAAACCTCTTTTTGAGCAAGTATTAGTACATTAGTAGTTTTTCAGTTCACAATATGTTATTTAATACTATAGTAATAACAGTTTTATATAGGTATTCTGGTATTTCATCATATCAGTATTTTAAATAGAATAGTTAAAACATTTTGACAATGTTCAAATGAAATAATCTGTTACAGTTCAACTTAAACAGAACTTAAAGTTTAAACAAATTCAAAAGTATATCTATCCCCACTATTTCAGTAAAAATAGGTTTTTAACTCTGAACAAATTTTCTTTAATTCTGTTCATATTTACATCTTGGTTTCCAAATGAGGATAGTAATATTTTTAGTTGAAGTATTATGAGAAGCTTTTCATATGTTTGAATTTGCTCCTTCATTCTAGTGGAAATATTAAGGTGCCAGTTTTTCTGTAATCATTGTCTTGTTCCTTGATAATTTTCTTTATGGTGCTACTGTCATTGTTTCTTTTGTGTAACTGTGTTCTGTTTGAGGGCAGAGAGCAGATTTGTTGTCTACTGGAGGTATGATGTAATCTTGGCATGTGTTGAAAACTTGGCACAGTTCACTCTGAACAGTACATGTATAGATTAAAATGACAAGAAGGCAAAATGAGGAGCCTTCTTATTTTAGAAAACTGTAAATAAGTTTTTATGGTATATGTGTAAGTATCCAGAATGAAGGTTGTGAAGTTAGCTGTCACACTCCAGTGAGCTTATGACTCCAAAACTTTAAAAAAAATGTTTGTATTTCTGAAAGTGTAAAGAAGCTAACGTGATATTAAATAAGCTAGAATTAAAGATTGTAAGTTAGTTTTAGTGATTTTTTTTTCTTTAAAGTAGCTTTTGCTCTTGCACAGTAAAAAAAAGGAGAGGATACTACAGAATGCTAAAGAGGGGCTTCATCCATAGTAATTAAATCTTGAGAAAATGAATATTTAAGGTTTTTGAGGTTCTAAAAATGCTCCTTTACTATCATATGCAATAAAAATATTTTTTGTATTCAAGATATTGATTAAAAGATACAAGTTCACGAAATATAGTACTGTGATATTTCTCAAACAACTGATTTTGGGTATTTTTCCCTTAATATTTTAAAGCCAATTTACATAAATTTGTGTGTATGTGTGTCTTAAAGTTCACAAAGTCAGAAAAATGATATGGCAGTGATTTAGGTCCAATGGAAATAATTTTATTTCAGTCAATGTTTTTCCGTTGCATCTTCGTCAAAGCTAGTTGTATAAGAATTGTTCTTGTACTACTACCCCTGATGAAGCTGCAATGGAAAAGCCATGGAAGAAGGAAGGTTTGGTTTCTTTTATTATTGTCTGGAGAATAAAGGTCATTTTTTTACTAACTTTATTGTTAGTAGGTCCAATTGAGTTTTAAACCTATATGTGCTATAGATAGTGTGTGTGTGCATGTTTTTATGAAAACTATATTTGTTTAATAGTTTAATGGTAATTTTTGAACTTTAAGATGGAGATTGAATTTGGCATAATAATAATAATAGATGTTTGCACTTACCATAGACAGCCCAATAACATGATGCTCAAATTTCCAAAACTTTCCAAAAGTCAGATTTAAGAGCAAAGCAGATGAGAAACTTTAAAAAACATAAGACAAGTTAGTTTAAAAATATTTGGAATGGATCCTGTTTCATGTTTAATAATTATATTTAATGCTATTTCAATTTTTATAACTGAATATATATTTTTATTTTGGAACATTTTTTATTGCAAGACTAATAAGTTTAGTCTTTCTCAACCACTTGGGTGATGGCTTTTGTTATTTTTATTTTTTTATCCTTTCTCACAAAGCAATTTCTAATAATAATAAAAAAGTTAACTTTTCAGTACTGTCTGATATATATTTGTTCATGGTTAAAGTTAGATAATACTTATCACTGCAGTTTTCTTTGATATTGGTGATTTTATTTAACTTGGTTAGTATTTTTGAGTTTTTTAAGCCATTAGCAAATATAATAAATGCAAAGAATACTCTACCCACGTTTTTGGAAGACTGAGTTTAGTTTTGTCATTGGCATTTCTTTTACTTGATGTATATTAATGTTTACACTTTGTCTTCAGTAAGGAGAAATTACTGAATCATGAAGAGGAAACGGAAAACTTTTATGCACCATATGCAGCTCTTTGTGCCCACTACATCAGTGTTAATGCTGCAGAAAGTAAGTGTTATGTACATTACAACACATTATACTATGCAAGTGTTATTGCTAGGTATTCCACACTTATTAAATTATTTTCATTTGCTGAAATCTACTGAAGGTACATGTGAATTGTATATTTTTTTAATGATTTACATTTTCAAAAGTAAAAAAAATGATTTGTATTTCAATTAAAAAACTTAACTTTTTTTTTATGTTTCAAAACTTTCCTTTTTTTTTAAATTTAGTACAATAAGAAATAGTCATGTGACATTTATTGGATTAGGCACATTTTAGTAGATATATTTGATGACCTGATGAACCCGGATATTTTCTTACTGGGATTATACCTTGGAATGTTACACATCTTTAAAGTATATATCTAGCAGTGAAAAAGCTGGGTATAAAAAATTAAATTGAAGTAAACTAGAAAATTATATAATTATTACTTAGTTGTGTCACAGTGCTAATAAATCTTAGTTTTAATTTTTGGTATTTTTAGTTAAGAGAAGCCAGGTACCAGTCACAGGGCAAGCATGTAAGGTCCTGTTGCAGTATTTACTCCAGAAGCTTCAGACATTTACAGAACAAAGTTGTCTGCTTCAAGTAAGCTAGCACATTCAGATGTTTTTGTCTGTTTAAATGTTGTGCCTGTCAAACAGTTAATCTAGTTATTTAGTTACTCAGCAATTTGAATGTATCTTTTAGTAAGTGCTGAACTTGTTACTACATTGAAAGCACCTACTTGTTGGAAAATACATGTGCTAAAATTTCATAGTGACCAAAAAAAATGTTTTTAAATCTAATATATACATACATTTATATGCTGTTCCAAATCTTTTGTATGGATACTAAGTCCAGTCCGCCAAAGGTACACAAGGTTTCATGAGCATACATTAACCCCTTACCTACCATGGCCATTTTGCCTTATCATGAGGGCAAAATCATATTTGTGAATTGAAAAAATTATAAAGAACTTATTTTTTATTGGATTTCAGATTTTATTTTTATAAATAGTAGCATAATATTCAATTATTTGTCCTAAATTGTATTACTTAATGAAGTTTAAAGAGAAGTTTAATTTAAAAAAAAATCCCAAAATACATTTGAGACTATAAATAAGCACCCTCTAAGAAAAAAACTTTTTTTTTCAATATTTAAAAAAAATTTTCCTTGCATTTTAGCACTGATCCTACCATCTACGATTGGTATCTAAACATTTTTCTAGTTTGCTTTCTTTATAAAACAGCATCTGGATGTGTTAAACCACAGTTGTAAAACTTTTAGCCAGTCCTAGTCAAAGGTGTCAATTTCAGTACCATGTTATTCCAATCGTTGTATTTCTCGTTTGACAAATCATAGGATGATAAGCAAAGCACCCGATGAAACATTCTTCTTTGGAAATTACAATATGAATGTGGGTAGTGCTTATTATAGTAACTGCCATTTTATGTAGAGGTTGTATTTAGTAGTGGTAAATAGTACTTTTTTATAAGCCTTAGAAAATTTGTTTCTGGAAAAAACTGTATGGGATGTATGTAACTTTTATTACTTTTCTATAGTAACTTAAATCATGCTATATTATATATATCTATTTATATTAATTATTATATTGAAAAATTAACTCAAGGTAGATATATTTTTGGGAAAGAAGTTGATCCACAAATGTTAGGGTTAAAATCTATCAAGTGACGAGTGCATGGTCTTTAAGTGAATTAGGCTCAGTTTGTGATTTTTATATTCGTTTGCATTTAAATTAGTAGTTTTAAGTTCAATGATTTAGCATAATTTTATATTTAATTCATTATAAAAATATGATTCAGTATTTAGAATGATAACCTTGCGTGATTTGTAGGTACTACTAGTACCATGTAAGAATTTTATATTTTTCCTTCTTACTATCTTTACTTTGCAGTAAGACCCACGCTTCTGTTGTTGTTGCTTTATAATTAAAACTGTCTAACATATGTATAAAAAGCTTATTTTGATATTTTGCAAATGGTTTAAAACTCAGTGTACAAGTGACAACAATAAAAACCCACATGTTGGTTGTGAAACAGACAAGTACATTCTTCTCAGTTATACAGGGGAAGGTTGACTTTCTCACGGTTGGGGTGTAAATATGCTGAAGAGCTTAAGTTTCGATTTCCAATATAAATCTTTCCTATAATGAGAGGAATGTGACCAGGACTAATCTCTTAAGTTCTGTAAAGTAATTTCTTTGTAATTTATGGTGTCGATATCCTTTGGTAATCTCTTGTAACAGGATGTATCATGTAACTAGGGTCAGGTAGCATTATTCAAACCACCTGTAATGTAAACTATTACATACATTCACTAGTAGTGGAAATTGGTTTTGTTTGTATAGTGAAACAACATACATGGACATATGTTGAAATAAACTTGTTTGAAAGTTCAAAGAAATGATATTCAAGTACTGAAAAGCTTTCTTACTATCATATCTACAGTAATGTTGAAATGCACCTGCGCTGGACTGAACGAGAGTGACCCCCCACCCCACCAAGAGGCATGTAGTTTACGCCAAATGTACGCAGTTCACACAGCTAACCTCACGGTTTTTTCAGCACAATAAACAAAAGTACGGTTGCAATGAAACATACTTGAAATAAAAATACATTTATGAAATAAAATTAAAATGTTTTTTTTTATGTACATAAATAAACATGAAATAAACAATAAAAATTTAAAATAGACAAAATTTGCACAATGTAAGTTTTAGAGGTTTTAAAATAATATACTAAAACATAAAGAGTAATAAGTTCAAATCTGGAACAAATATAAATATTGTAATCATATCTTATAAATACTATTTCCTAATGTAATTTTCCAAGATATTAAAGATAATAATGCAAAAAAAACTAAGAAACATAAAGCCTGTTACTTCGATAAATTTAAAGTGCATTTATGAAAGTTCTTATGAAGTTTCAAACAATTTCATCCACTAGTTTTGTTGTTGGAACAAAATACAGCAAGACTTGTGTTGGCTTTGTAAAAAGTTAGTAGCTGATAGTAATCAGATTAATTTGCTACAAGTAATACAGTTTATTATTATTATTATATTTCATCACATTTTTCTTTACTAGAAGCAGATCATGAACCTGATTCGATGTTTTTGCAAAAATGATAGCGCACTTCAACGTGCAGATATTATGACCTTGACTACAATGTTGAAATCTGCAAAAATACCCTCAGATTTTTTATTGCAAAAAGCACCTGGTCATGGTAAGAAGTTTGGTTTCTTAAGTTATCATTCCAGTGTTTTTGTTTGTTAGTTAATTTCTTAGTGATTTGTAAAAACCTTTTTTTAACCATGTAAAATAGGTTTTACTTTGAGAACTTCAAAACATTCTCAAAAATGAGTTTATTATTTTACTTATATTGTAAAGCTTTTGTTTTTATTTTGTTAAACCTCATCTAATGAAAAAAAAAACTAAGTTTAAAGTTTTAAAATTTAGTTTAATGAAGTTCACCAATGTTGATATTTAATTATTTTGAAAAGTTGCCCTCAAATTGCTATCTGTATTTAGTAGAAAATGTGTGTGTGTATAATTACTGGAATCGCTACAACTAAATGAGCTAACTACTCATCTGATGTTCTCATAGGATTGTTTCTTTACCCAGTTATGGCCATATAATGTTGATGACAGATACTGGAATTGAACTTTTACTGAATATAGATTACAATATTAACCAAAAAAACCTCAATGATAGAATTATGATTTAAGTGTTTTTTTTTCTCCCAAAACAAAATGAATTTTATTACCTGCTTCTGATATCATATTTTTGGAAAGTTTTAGTAAGAGTTCCATGATTTTTTTTTTTTTTTTTTTTTGTGAGTCATCAAAATTAATAAACTAGTAAGTACAGAAATTATTTTAAAAAACATAAACAATGAAATTGATGAGATAAGACAGAATTTAAAAGCATGGAAAACTTTTTTTTTTGAAACTCCGTAACCTTTTAACGTGTGTCATTATGTTCAGAGTTCCATGGAAATAGTTGTCACCATACATATTTTTTTGTTTTACTTGTCTGATTTAATGGGATGAAAATGAAGGAACTTATGGTTTGTGATTAAAATGATTTTATTATGTTGATTTAACATTTAAAATTTCATATTAATTAAAAAAGCAAATGAAGAACTCGTAAGGAGTATAATGAATGTTTCTTGTGTGGTTCTAACATGTAGATTAGCTTAACTTGTATCTAAAATCTCTATCACCAGATGCTGAAGTATGTGTTAAGGTTGAGTCATTACTTAAGAAAACTAGATAATTGAATCTATATATGTACTGGTGGAAACACTGACTAGTTGCTCTTAGTATGTTTCATAAATTTAATTTACAACAGTTGGAGTAAATGTAACCAATGTAAACAGAATGGCACTTGTGAGAAAAACTGTTTCTTATAATTGGTGTATTTACAAATCAAGCTTGTTTTGTGTGTATTCAGAATAAAATGTTGACTTATAATTCATGGGTTGTGATATATTTCTCTCTCTCTTTCACACACACACACACACACACACACACACACACACGCGCGCTAGTTAAATGAAGAAGGTGGCAGTACTTTGGTTCTTTAGGATGCTGCTTTTTATTCTTCTGTATAACCCCTTGTATAGTAGCCATTGTGTCTGTTATTGTTCAGTATAGAATATTTTTTTTTTTACCTATTACTTAGTTGTACGTTCAGATTGTCCTTATTTTTCCTATTTATCCCATTATTAGAAACAGAATATTAATATCCAGCCTTGTTTGTTTACAGAGTTCTACAAAGAGGATGTGAGAGAGACTAAACCTCACAGACTGGACCAAAATACAAGCATTTTGGAGCAGCTGATGACCCCACTGCTTGAAATACCAGGAGAAAGAAAAACTCGTGGGACAGGAATCCTGGAGCAGGATAGTGACAGCACCGTGATTCAGCTTCCAGACCAAGGAGAAGAAACTAAGGTTTGCTTCTTCTTGTATGTTTATATCATATTTAGTAATAACAGTAGCTAAAGCTCTACTGTATAAATTTAAAAAAACAATTGTATTCTGCCTCTTTCAGTTTCTTTCTTACAGAACTTTTTTGAGTGCAAGGACTGCTCATTATTGTAGAATCATGTACACTGCCTCTAACTTAAAACAAAAAAAACTAATTATCTTTTTGAAAAATAGTTCACGCTATGAAAAGTGCAGAAACTTTCTGTTGCTGCTTAAGAATGATAAGTGTATACTAAATTTTAACCTTATAATTAAACTTAATACATAGTATTATTAATGTTTTCCAGTTGACTGAAATACAGAAAACTAGTGAAACTTGTTTAAAATTATTCCATACATTGTTATTTAATCTTAAAATTAAAGACAGTTTAACATCTGTTTTTATTTCTAAAGATAAATCTCCTTTTATTGGTGCATTTTTGTTCTTTGTTACTTTATGTGAGCAGTTCATCTTTTGACACTGTAACATTGTTTTAAAGTGTAAATACCATTATTATATATTACCACTATAATAATTTTAGCACAGAGAAGAATGAAAAACTACTATGTATGAAGGTATTATACCAAGAAAACTTGTAGGATAAAGAAAAATAGATAAATTGTAACACAAGAAGCCTGGCAACTTGAAAGATCGATGTGAAGTGAACATTATTATTAACAAGTAAATCCTGTTCTCATTGAGAATTACTTTTAACAGAATAAACATACAAAAGTATTAAATGCTGATTTTTGTCATTATAAAATGCATTAAATAACACTTAGTATTTTCTATAGCTGTAATAGAAACTAAATGTTAACTTCTCTTAAGCTTTCATGTGATGAATATATTTCTCTGTCCAACACAAAATATTCATACACTTAATTCATAAAGATGTGGTCAGATCAGGGATTTAGAATATCCAGAAGAGGGACATGTATCCCTTTTACTTAATGGCATTGGAAACACAAAATGTGGATCAGCTTTGGTCATCAGGACTATCTAGAAAGAGACCAGCAACAAGTTGCGGTCCTGCTGTTGTAATCAATATCTTGTAACACAAAGATCGGTGGCAACCATATACAATATAATCAAGAAGGATCTCTGTCTGAAAAGGGGGCACAAGTTGCTTCTACAACATGTGTGTTCAACCATTGCATACCTTAAGCAACTGGAGATTAAAATGGGTGTTTGTGGTATTTCACATTAAGACATACCAGTCAAGTTGACAGTAGCAGTGCATATGGATTTGTGTGTGAAATGTTGAAACAGGTGCTGGAAAACCATCTTTGTATATTAGATAAATTATGGAAAATATGTAGGGAAGAATGTTGTGCCTTTAACATCAAAGTCTTATACCAGAGTCTCTTGCAATGGACACTGTGCTTCAGAGCTATCATAAAGATGCATGGTCATTAGAGTGTGCATTACAGAAAATGGCTAGAGCTGGATAATTAATGGAAGTTGCTTATCGATCAACAGTCAGGATCATTAGCTGAGGACATTCAGTGAATCACTTATTCTCACATAAGACTTGGATAGTTAGAATAATTGAACAATAATAATCTGAAACATTAATTTGGATTAATTGATTATTTTTGCATTTGACACTAATTAAGCTGAACCAACATCAATTAATCAAATTATTTAATAATGAGAAATCATGAAGTATTACGATTACATGCATAGTGTGAGTAATCAAAAACATTAATGCTGAAACACCAATTTCAATTAGTTGATTGTTTTTGTAACATCAGTAAATTTAATCATAATTTTGATTAGTTGAATATTTTATTTAATACTTACCAGTGTATATGATGCTCATAGATAGTTGGTTTTATCAATTTATTGAGTTAATCACCGGTATTAGACACATGAAATGTAATGGTGAGGCTTCAAGATCATTTTAATATAACGTACTCAACCTCTGTATTTTGGAAACTGTGAATAAGTTTAAGTTGAAGCTTGCTTAAAAAACAGAAGTATAATATCACCCATTCATACTATTTTGTGATGTATTTATAAGACAATTATTTACTGTTTCTTTTGTTTGTTTTTTTACTATATTGCAGGCTCTGCTTTTTTCTAAGAACACAATTAGTCTACAGCAGTTAAATGGAGGAGATATTTTATTAGAAATGTGTTTGGCCCTCCCATCTGTACATCATTATGTTTCTCAGTTGAACGACACACTAGCAGGAAAAGGACTTGGAGTCCCTTCATGCGTAGCTGGAGCGTTGCTTGTTAGTAGCTCGTAAGTCTCTCTCTCGTATACTTTTCAGAAAATCTGCTTTTTAATCTCCATTCAGTTTGTTTGTCACCTTGCTGTTAAGTTGATATACTGTCGATTGCTTTGATATGTGTATGTATGAACGTGTGTGTGTGTGTGTGTGTTTGTCCACACTGGTATTGATCTAGTATTAATTTTAAATCTGTGATTCTTTGCATCAGTAGTTCTCGATTTGAAGTTCCGTTCAGGTGGTTCATGGAAAGGAAGTGGCAGCACAGTATATAGATCCTATTGAGATAAAAAAAAAAATAAACCAGATGACCTAATAGCAAATGTTTGAGAGGATGTTTTAGATAATATTTACAAATGCTATAAATTTTGTGTTATCTACTGGTAATAGAATTTTGATTTTTTTTTTTCTATTTCCCTTTGATATTGTGTGTGTGTGTGCGTTTTTTTTCTTATAGCAAAGTCACATTGGGCTATCTGCTGTGTCCACCAAGGGGAATCATACCCAATTTTAGCATTGTAAATCTGAAGACTTACTGCTGTCCCCCAGTGGGACATATTGGTATCGACACAAGACACATTTGGTATCAAGTTTTTTAAGTCAAATCTATGGTGGAGGGGAGTGGGACAACAATTGGTGGGGTGCTCTTCATGTCTTGTTATGTCTTATGTGGCTATTAGGTACTAGTTTTATGGGTTTGTGTAGCTTGTTGGAGTGCTTTTAGTGTCTTCTTGTGTTTGCAAGGCTAGTAGAAGCTAGTTTTTGTGGGTTTTCATATCAAAGCTGGTTTGAAATGCTTTTGAAGCCCTGCTCTAAATAAAGTTTGGTACTTTCACTTTTGTTTCTGATAAATTAAATGACAAAGAAATTTGAAAAGGATATATTTTTTTAATTTCTACATTTGTAGTTTGTACCTACAATAATAGGTGAGTACAAGCCCATTTTGTAAACACTGAGGTATATGTGTGTGGTTTCTTTACACAATAAATACTTTTATAATCCATTTTCATAAATATTTGATAGATGGTTTTAAGATATGTTTTGATACTAGGAAATATCCAAATTGAAAGTTGTCAGAGATATTTTAATTTTTACTGGAATTACAATTCTCAGTGCTCAATGGTTAGTTTATGTATAATGTAATTTTTTTCATTATGGCAATTAACTCATTTATGTGCCTTTTAATTGATGTTTTAATGTATTTGGAGAATTCTGTTTGAAGTAATAATTTTTCCATTTACTCCAACTTAATACTCTTTTAATCAAGAAAGTAAGTACCATTCTTACCACTTCTCAGGTACAGAACTGTGATGAATGACATAAGTATAGTTGGAAGAGCTCTGAACTTGCAAGTCCTAGAGCCCCTTACAGAGGAACGACTGCAGAAGTTAACCACCATTGCACTTGGCTGTCTATATACATCAATTGCTGTAGCAACAGCTTCTAGTATTCTCATGATATCTGGGAACCCACCTACTAAAGGAATTGGTGCCCACAAAGATGATGAGAATGATAACTGTGTTGTTTCAATTGTAAAAATTAGTGTAAGTGCAACTTTTTTTTAACCACGTACTATGGTTTTTTGTAAAAATTAGTGTAAGTGCAACATTTTTTGTAACCACCTTTTATAGTTTTTTGTAAAAATTAGTGTAAGTGCAACATTTTTTTGTAACCACCTTCTATAGTTTTTTGTAAAAATTAGTGTAAGTGCAACATTTTTTGTAACCACCTTCTATTGCTTTTTGTAAAAATTAGTATAATTGCAACATTTTTTGTAACCACCTTCTATAGTTTTTTTTGTAAAAATTAGTGTAAGTGCAACATTTTTTTTAACCACTTTCTATAGTTTTGTTAGTTTTCACCAGACTCCAAGAATGTTTGATTTGTGGCATGTGCCTGTTTCCTATAAGTGATAATCCCCAAATTTTAATATTTAACAGGGTTAATTTTCTTGTTTTGAAAGGTATATTAAGTTTATATCAACATGTACCAGAAACTTGTCATCAATTCATTCTTCAGTTTTAAAATTTTTCACCAAGTTGGTTGGAATATTTCCTAGGATATAGTCATGCGTGTGATCTTTATTTTAACCTTTACCAAGTTGGGCTTTTTTTTAGAAATAAGTGTTGCATCTCTGGAATTATAAATTATACTCTTTTAATGAAACTACAGTACAGAATAGAAATGTTTTATCCAGTACTTATGATACATAATTCAGAATAAATCTGATATAAATCAGCATTTTCAATGCCATCTAGCAAGCACTGATTGTAATACATAATAACATGTAAATAAATATGGTTAAACAAATAAAAAATGGCAAGAAATGGTTTGCTGTACTTAACTAGGCCAAATAATTTTTTGAAACGTGAAGGGCATTCGAGTTATCTTTGGCATATTATAGAAGGGGTTAAAATACGCATTCCAATTTTTTTTATAATAAATCAATATTTAAACATGGAAGCTCTCTGAATAAAATAATCACACTTTTAAATTACCTAATATTAATAAATTAAGTGAAAGGAAAAATAATTAATATTTCTAGTAAAGTTTATCACATGAGTTCTGTTATATCATAATGTAATGCTTTAATAATGTTTAACATAGTGTAGTAGTGTAAAATTAAGATCTTTCTAAAAGAATTAAACCTAAGCTAACAAAAAATACAGTGATTTTTGTTCAATATCACATTTAAAACTGTTGTATCATTTGTTATACTGTTTTATTGTTTCTTAACTTTTTAGCTAGAAACCTACAATACAGTATCAACTGTAATTCATTCTTCTGCAAGGGCAGGAGGTCATGTAAGTGGCTTTATCATAATATCTTAATTACAATATAATACATTGATTTATCTATTGAGAAAACTGGGAAACCCGAAAGTTGTTTGTATTAGTTTTTTGACAGTGTGCAGGGTAATAAGAATATTTTTTTTTTTATCTGACTTCATTTTTCTGTTATGTTAGGTGACTAATTTTTTATTTATTTTTATATTGATATAAATAGAACTTACAAAATTTGCACCTTGGTGGCTCATGGCTTCTACTGACAGGCCTTCAGAACATGTTGAATCTTTACCCTCTGAACCCAACTGATAAAGGAAGAGAAGGATCCTCTAAGAGTAAAGGAACATCTGACCCATCTTCTGGATCTAAACCCAAAGAACCTCCTTTACCCAAACAAAACATGATGAAAATGTAAGTTATGGCAAGAAATGGTTAACTCTTTCCGTATGAAGTGGGTCTGTTTGACCTGCCTTGGAAGTGTTGACTGTACATACTATAACTCTGAACTTGCTAAGCATATCTTCATGAAATTTGGCAAACTTTTAGTAAACATATAAAACTTTTTTTAATAAAATATTTCTATTAAAGATTTGTCTGTGAATTTACAGTTTTTTTGTTTTTGTTTTTTGCTATGGAGTCAAAGATGATTTTCATGCTAAGAATAAATATGCATAAAAAACAAGAAATTTAACACCTTGTTTTTTTTTTCTCACTATGTTGGTTGTCCAAAAAATAATTCATGTAACTTATGAATATGCATTTTAGAACACACAACATATTTTGGGCACTAGATTAGAATGTCCCAGAAGTACTGCAATTTATCTGGCTTTCAAGTTATACTATAAATAGGTTAATTTCCTCGAAATGGGCTTGGTCACTTTGATCATGCAACTACTATATAACTATGAAGCTTTTAATGTAGTAAGTGTATCTTAAAAGCTTTTACTGTCGTACATAAAATCAGATTTGTAAAAATACTTGATTTTTTTTTTTAATACGTGTCAGTTCATATATGGAGTCAGAATATGACGGTTAAAAATACTTTTTTTTTTATCTTGCATTTTTTGAATTTCTTTGCATAACCTCTAAAACCTTCTAAATGAATAATAAGCTTTTTTTATAGTAAAATTTTATGTATTGTATTTTCTACTCTAACACTGTACGAACTCTGTTGTTTGACAGACATTTTAACCACCACAAAAAATATAACTTTAAGTAGACTTTTTTTTTTTTCTGTAGATTGTAACAGAAGATTACAATTACTTATCCTACACAACAACAGTTGGCATATGTTTTTATCTAAAAGATGCAAAGCAAGCAAAAAGAATCAAATTTGAAAGATTTATGTAATAAATGGTGCTTGTTTAAAATCTGTAGTTTATATGATAGTTTGATTCTTATTAAAAAATAAGTTATAAAATTATGTGAAAATATTAGTAAATAGTCTTTGCAACGTAAAACCAAAAGCTGTTTTACTCATTTGAGTCTCTTGTACCCTGTAGCCAACAAGGTTTTGGCGTGTTGTTTGTTGCACTTGCGTCACAAGCTGTGTCTCTTATGACAAACCTTTTGGTGGATCTGCAGGTGGAAACAGGAATTACAGAAGAACAGCCAACTTCATTCCTGTCTCAGCCAACTCAGCCACTAGTAGCAGAAGATATGACAAAACACTTAACTGCTTGGCAACGAGTTCACAAATTAACCTCAAACCTTAATCTGATTAACTTGCTTTTTAGCATAGCTTCGGTGAACTATCGAAAGGTAATAAGCATTTCCTTTTTTTCAAAGTTCTATAAGTTTTATAGCTTCTAGTATATGCAAAAAAAAAATATAATTGCAAGAAAAACTGTAATATGGTATACCATCTTCAATTTTTCTCTAATGGGGGTGGGGGGTGAGTTGCAAAATATTTATTGGTCTAGTTTTTAAAATTTTGAATATTTAATATTTTGGGAATGTCAATGAAATTTTCTCTTACCTGAAAAGCATATAAAAGTAATCTAAATTTCTAACAAAACCTTCATTGTCATTTTGAATATGTGCGTATAGAACTAAGATTGTTACTCATTTGCACATGACCTCTTTTTGATTTACGGTATTTTCTTATTTTGTGTTTAGAACAATATATACTAATTTTTAAAGTATCAAACTGAATTTTTGTTAAATAAAAATCCTTCAAATGCAACTGTAGCTTTTTTCCCCCAAAAACTTTGTCTTCAAAATAAGGGTGCATTTTGTACACTGGTGCATCTTATATTCCAAAAAATACAGTATTTCTTTATAGAGCTGTGCTTTAATTATATTAGAGATGTAGTGCATTGTATGATTAGGCCTAAAAGTATAATCATTTAAGGACTAAGCATTGTGTCATTGTTGGGTTTATCATATGCATAAAAGTTTTATCAGTTAACTTTTTTTAATCTATAAAGTACTTAATATTTCATGACTTAATGTCATTACATCAGCTAGTTCACTTTGTCAGTTACTGGCTAAGCATAGTAAAGTGGTTATTGTGCTGGGGAATAGGAGGTCCAAGTTTTTCAGTGCAGTGCCATTAAATACATTGCACTGTCAGTTATGAGTGCATTATAAGAGAGTGACTCTTATTCCTGTTATTTGTTTTAAAATTTTCATGACAGCAGGCACTGCTATCTGACAGCCTTCACTCTAATCGGTAATGGATGGCTAATATCTGAACCCTGTGTACCTCTAACTTGTATGTTTAGCCTTTATGCCAATGAGATGCCATTTACGTTGAAGATGACAAAAGTATTTGATAACAGCAGTGATACTAAGGTTTCAAGTTTAATATTAACAGTTTTTTTTTGGGTTTTTTTCTAGTTTAGTTTTATATGATAAATTTATATGGAGAAGCTCATTTCAGATTACATCTAATATTTTGCCAAATACTGAATCAAAAGTATTTAGTAATGTTGTTCAATAATGTCTTTTATTTTGTTAATTTTTATTTATAAAGTGCCTTCAACCTACAAATATTTATAATTTATCTATATTTAGGCATGCATGTTAAAACGGATTCAGAAACAACCTGTGGATGGAGACGGCTTTAGCACCTCTGACTCAAACACATATTATGAAGATGATTTCAGCTCTTCAGATGATAGCAGTGATGACGAAGGTAAGCAGAAGGTTTTAGACAAATAATAGAATATAAACATGAATTATTTTTAAGACTTGTTTAAGTTTTTCATTTTTTGTTAGTCATAAAATAATTTGATTTTAAAAAGATGAAAAGTGAAATTATGCAGTTGAATTTAAGTCAGAAATGGAATTTTCACATTAAAAATTATAGTTTTTATTTATGTTTGTTTAACATGGATTTTGTATCAACATTAATGTGTATGGTACTAAGGTCCCAAATTTAATTTAAACAGTTAAAGTTAGTTATGAATTATTTTAAATTTTCTAATTTAGTTTTTTTATGTTAAACTGATATGGGTTAGCTAATTGCAGATTAAAACAAATATTTTGTCAAACACTGAATAAAAACTATTGAGTGATGTTGTTGGATAGTCTCTTAGTTTGTTAATTTGTATTCATAAAGTTACTCAAGCTGTCGATCAGAAAGTCCAAGTTTTCAATACAGTGCGTTATAAGAGTGACAGTTAATTGTATTATTTGGTTTAAATTCTTTATGGCTGCAGGTGCTGCTAACTGTTTGCTGTTAACAGATGGTGAATGATCTTGCTACCTCCGGTTGTTTTGACGTACCTGTTTAATGGTCCATAAGATCAAAGTAGATAATGATTTGGAAATAGTACATTATTATCCAATAGTAATGTCTGTACAACACTTGTTTGTTATGTGTTTAATGTAGTACATTATTTGTTTATTTATGTTTCTCTTGTGAAGATTATAAAAAAAAAAAGATTAATATTAACTTCTTATCAACACAAGCTACCTACATAGATCAGAACTAGAAAAATGTACGTCTAGTAATAAGGATGATGCCTACATAGATCAGAACTAGAAAAATGTACGTCTAGTAATAAGGATGATGCCTACATAGATCAGAACTAGAAAAATGTAAGTCCAGTGATGAGGATGCTGCCTACATAGATCAAAACTTAAAAAAATGTACGTCTAGTGATGAGGAAGCTGCCTAAATAGATCAAAACTAAAAAAAATGTACGTCCAGTGAGGAGGAAGCTGCCTATATAGATCAAAACTAAAAAAATTTACGTCTAGTGAGGAGGAAGCTGCCTACATAGATAAAAATTTTAAAAAATGTATGTCTAGTGAGGAGGAAGCTGCCTACATAGATCAAAACTAAAAAAAAATGTATGTCTAGTAAGGAGGATGCTGCCTACATAGATCAAAACTAAAAAAAAATGTACGTCTAGTGATGAGGAAGCTGCCTACATAGATCAGAACTAAAAAAATTTACGTCTAGTGATGAGCACAGCTTATTAAATAAAAGGTTCAAACTATATTACTTATAATAATTAGAATACTTTGTTTTAACAGTTTGAAACCCTGTTAACAATATTTTCAGCTGTAAACCTTATAATATCTCGGGATGCTCTGTCCTAAGTCAGTATACTGAGCAAATAATGCACAGTAATCATTATGATAAAAGAATAAACACAAAATAAAGTTACAAATAATAACAAATAAATATATTAAATATTCCAATTAACACTATGGAACTTGTTTCACTTGTTTAGGCCATGTCCAAGTAAGAACTACCATATGAAAGTTATACTTGGCTTGGTCAGCTAACAATATGAAATACTTTTTACAGTAATAATAATAATGAATGTAATAACAAATATTGTTGTTAATAAAAGTAACTTTTAAAGAAAAGGCATGGTATAACTTACTAATATTGCTAGAAAATAAATAATACACACTGTCCCTAAAATCTGTTAAGACTTGGAGAGTCATCCACTATCAAGGTGTTATCTTAATTCTGGAGTATTAACCTAACTCATGTCATTGTTGTTCACTATAGTATAAATAACTGAAGGAGGTTTGACCTTCCAGACATAACCTACTCTGCTAGTAGTAGAAATTTTATTACCCAGTTCTATACAGTAAATTGCATGTAACACTAATATTGAATGATCCAAAACAATAGGCAATTAGAGCAAAAGAAGATTAGCCAATTTTTTGTTAATAACCTGACATTGTTAAACTACACATGCAGATACACATTCTTTGGTACAGTATGTGATTAACAGAACATACAGGTGAAGAAGTGTGTTTTAAATTATACTAATAAAAGTTTAGGTGATTAATCTAAAAATAACTGGTGGTCTGTATTTATATTCACTGCTTTGGGGTTTTATTTCTTTCATTTTGGCTAAGTGTTCTAGATTTAGATTGTTTACCTATAAGTCATTCTGTAATGTACCTATGAACACTGCCAAATAGCAGTTGATTAATCATTCCTATTTTTTTATTGCATATCCATGAATCTTTGACAATTTTAGTGACAAAAAAATTAGATTTCCGACAAAAAAAATGAAAACTGTAATGTATCTAAGTGGAGACTACATTATACCTTCATTTGTAGCATGGATCTTTTTTTGATATTTTGCTTAAAATATATAATTGTAAATTTAACAAGGTAAAACTAACTTAAGCATAGATACAAATTTGTTTTAGACTAGTTACAATAGGATAAAAAATGCAATTATGCTTCTTCTCTTTTCCTTTCTTTACCTAGATGATGACAGTGAACCCATACTTGGTCAGTGGTTTGAAGAAACTTTAGCTCCTGAAGATTGTGGCGTGACAGTAACTCCTGGCCCACCTGCAACTACTCCATCAGATAGTGATGTCCGTAACGGAAAACCTGCCCAGGGCCAAGCGTCTGAATCAGCTTCTCTTATTCCTGAAAAGGGTGAACCTCATGGAGTAAGTTTAGGTTAAGGGAAATCAAAATGTATTCATTAGTTTTTCAAGTGAGTCTTATGCATGTATATTCTGATTCTAAGATGAACTTTCTTGAGTATTACTAGTTTAGGCACTGCTGAGAGATGTTGAGCTTGGTGTGAATTCGCTAAGTATTTATCAAGGGTTCTTTTGAGTGAAATGTATTGATTAATTATGTTAAAAATTATAAAGCTTCTTACCTTCTAATAATGTTAAGATGAATCTCACGTACCAGGGTGAGCCAAATGTGAGTTGTGTAATGAAAGGTAAACCTTGAATAACCATATTTCACTATAATTCTTCTAAGTTTGTGTTAACCCTCATTTTTAATGTCTCTTATGGAAAAATTTTTAGTATTTAGTAGTACTATAAGAGTAGCAGTAAATAATAAGAATAAAAAAAATAAATGATTTTATCAATTGGAAAAAAAAAAATTCATACTGTGAAAATTTTTGGATGCACTTTTGTTTCTCACCAAAAAAAGCTCTGACATTAGGCAGACTAGACATGAAATTTAACATTGCTCATTTGAATAGAAAACAACCACTAATAACTAATGAAGTGATATACACTTCAATACCAATAGAATGTATCTGGTAACCTACACTTCATTGGTTGTATACGAGTCTTTGAAAGTCTCTTGTGTTGTGAACCCTGTGAAGTAAAATTTGGTGTGAAATTATATATTGCGAGTGTAACATTAAGCCTTAGGGACAAAATTAAGTTAGGTTTTGCTTTTGTTACTTTTTGTTTAATCTTTCAACAGAGCATTTTTGTGGCTGTACTATATATTTGTCGTGTTATTTTAGTTATTATTCCTGAATCCACATGATAGTTGACTGAAATTGTTTATCTCAATGTTTTTATAATTCCAACGTCTAATTATCTCAAGAGCTGCAGTTGTTTTATTTTATTTGTATTTCTGCTTTATTTTTTTATTTTTTTTACCATTACAGTATATCAGACTTGCCTGCAGAATTTTCAACTTTCTTAATAACTACTTTGTAAGCTCAGAAAATCTTTACATCAGGGACTACTTAAGGTAAGCTTAGCTCTTTAACTTGTACTTGCAAACATTTAATTATTTAATACATTCTGTGAAATTTGTTTTTACTCTTTTTATGGATTGCAAGTTGGATGATATGGTAGTAAATTTCAACATATATTCATCAAAACAATAGTTCTGTTCATTACTGTAGAACTTTTAACACACATTTCGTTTTTATCATGTTTTTTTGTGCTCTTTTGACCAATTTTGTGGTTTTATAGTGACATATATATATTTTATATACTTAATATCATGTTAGCTTTTCACATGTAAATGATTAAAGTGTTCAGTTTGCAAACTTTTAATGGAGTCCATATTCTGAAAATGTAGAAATTTGTTTATTAGAGTTAAGCTTAATTTAGTAATTTTAGTTTATCATTAATAAGTTCGCTTTTATTTACACGTGTATATGTATAACAAAAAAATCTTTGAATACTTTTTAACTTATTTTTCAGTTAATACAAATTTAAGTGATTCTACAAAATACTTTCAATATTAATTTAATATTAAAAGAAAAAAATGTGTAACCTAATTGTCAGCAGGTAATTGTGCTATTGGTAACTTTATATCTTTTTTAAAGTTTCATTTAAAAAGCAATGTTATGTACATAAAAAAATTCACTGTTTGTCCTGTAGAAGCAAACTAGGAGAGTCACAGATGGTAGTCTTGGCAGGTATCATTAAAGACTTGGATAGAGAAACTTCTCGATCAGAAACTGGTATGTGTGAACAATCTTTCTAAGAAGTCCAAAAAGTAAAATATGTTAAATAGTTTTTTTGTAGGAAAAGAAGTTGAAACCACTGTAATCTAAGGTTTGTACAGTATGTTTGTTTGAGATAAAATATTATAATTTTTTTTAAGCAAAACATTTAGGTCCTTAATTCAAGTTTTCATTCTTTGTTTTCCTTCAGTCCTTGTTTTTTTTTCTATTGTGATCTTAGACATTTCAAAATTTATTGTGTATTTTTCGAAAAACATGTTTAAGTAAGTTTTAAATTATTAACTCTTTCAGTACGGGCTCGGTCCCTGGGACTGACCTCATAACCATTTTGTGCTTATTATAGTTTTCACACTATAACTGTTAAATTAGTAAGCATATGTTAACAAAATCTGGCAGATTATCAGTAAGCACTACAATGCTTTTATAAGCAAAATATCATTTTTTTTTTTTTTATTATGCCTTAAGGTTTGTAAAACAATGCTTTTCTCGTGCCTTTTCTTTCTTTTTCACATGTTGCCTATCCAATTTTTTAAGATTAAAAATACTTTTCTGCATCAGAAAATTTTCAACTTTCACATGGGAAGTTCTTATAATGTCCAGATAGTTATCAAACATTTCTTATAAAAAAATTTATATTTTATCTATTATTTTCAGTAACGAATCTCTGTACAGGTTTGGTCGATATGAACTATCTCGTAACCACGTTAAAAAATTAGGAAATAAATATAAATTATGCCTTGTTCATTCTAGTATGACCACAAATTATAACAAACATAAATGTTTAGACTAAATAGCTTAAATCTCGTAAATTGTACATCTATGTATATTTATTATTTTTATTTTATTGACCTTTCAGCCATACCTGGCTAACAATACAGAAGTTACAATGACGTGGCTCATGTGCACTCATGTTACCATATCAAATAACATAAGACTAATCTTTGGTCTGTACAAAAAAAGCTTGTCTTGGCTGTGTTTTAGTCGACAAGTATTTTGTAAATATAGTCACATTTCAATTATTATACATTATATATGTATATAGATTATTGCTATTTAGAAATAAGTTCTTAAACTTATTTTTCTTAAAACATAGAACAGTAAATAAAGAAGTAAAGCAAACACTTATCTCTTCTAGTTACAACCTTTGTACTTGGTTACTGCTTGAAGTAGAATGCTAAGCCTTTAAAAATTTTGCACATGGAGGATATAAAACAAAATAATTTTTTTTTAGACATTGGACTCCGTATCATTCAACATTTGTCCTGCTTTACCCCAATAGGTCTTTTCTTCTCAAGACTCTGGTAGCCAAGGAAGGGAAAAGTTCCTTCTCACTAATCCATTTGCCAGCCATTTCTCACCTTTATGACAATTCCGATCCTGATTGTTTGTTATGTCCTGTTAGGGCCCTCAAGTGTTATGTGGCTCATACTAACTCATTTCGAGGTAGTAGGAATCGATTGTCCATTCATTGGAATCCTTCTGTTTCTCGTGATTTATCTCCCATTACCCTAATGAAGTAGCTTCATAAGTTGATTCATATGACCCATAATGGATTATCATTACAGGAAAGGAATCTTTTACATGTCACATCTCACAATATTCGTCATATCTCTATGTGATTAGCCGCCCAGTTTAATTTCCCTCTGGAAGACATTGTGTTGACTGGTATGTAGACTACCACTGATACTTTCCTATCACATTACTTACATGATCTAGTGGTTTCCTCTTCTGAAGGTTCTTGACTACCCCCTGTAGCTATTTTGACCACACCTGTTAGATTTTTACCAGAGATAAAGGTGAAGGTTCTTGACTACCCCTGTAGCTATTTTGACCACACCTGTTAGATTTTTACCAGAGGTGAGTATTTTCCTCAATCATATACTCTTTTATTTCCAGGGTCCCTTTATTTTTCACTGTATCCCACTCTGTGGTAAGTTTGCCTAGACAGGTATGCTTTCTCTTTTCAATTCTGTATTAGCAACCACTTTCACTATAATTACTACAGGTTGCAACAAACTCTGTCGAAATGGGGTGTACCATAAAACCATCTAGGCACCTACTAGATGGTATTACCTTATTATTATTATGGACTGCCACTCATGGACTATCATTAGTAAAGCTAAAGGGGATCCTGCCTGTCCTTGCCGATCTTCGGGTTGAATAAATCATGCTTGGTTTGCTTTTAAAAATGTAGGGAACTTAGTTCACCTATTGCACAGTTTCCAGAACACTGTTCCTCAGGCTTCCCAACATGTATTACCTTCCATACTTTATTAGTGGAGCTCGGGAGTCCTTACCACCTCTAGTTTCCAGTCACTAGTGTGGTGGACAGATGCTTTTTTCCAGGGTGTTTGAATGTACTCCTCCACTCTTGGAGGAGAGGGCAAAGTTGGGGGGCCCTCTTACATGGATCCCTTGATGTTTTTCCCAGATGTCTGTAGGAGTAGCACCAACCTCCATAGGAGCCTACTCGTAATTCCAGTTCAGATTTGACACGAAGCTTTCCGGTTGGGAGGTGCATGGTTCAGTTTCATATACTGTTCATGGAAGGACGTCTACTATCTCCTCATAATTCTGAACACAAAGTGGTCTCATCCTAGATCCATGGTTGAGCACAGGAGCAAGCAGAATACTCCTTGCCCACTTGGTTGGGGATTGAGGATGAATGTTCATAATACCAGACCGGGTGAATTCTGTTCCCTTGGTTGAATAAGGCATACACGATCCTGTCATTCCGAGCCTGGGGTGTTGCCTACTTTCTCGTTGTGATTCCAGTGGTGCGAAACCCATCACTCTATGGCTACAGGTTGGGATCCAATCAAAAGTATACACATATAACATTGCAGTACAATATCCTTAACCACCAATGTGGGATATAGGTACCAGGACCCCTTAATTCCAACCCTGAATTGTGGAACCTTGATATAGGAACTGAATTCCAAGTGAAGAGCATACCTGTTCTGGATGTAGTGCGGTTCTCCCACTTTTGTACCATCTTTATCTTGGTACACTCCTTTTCTATACAGATGCTTTCTGTATGGTTTATGCCTGCACTGGCCACTCCAGTATTTCCAATTGCACTTACCTCTGCTGACATTCTCCCACCCTACCACCCCACTAAAAGCCATTTTATGTCTCGAAAAAGTGATTACATTATCTGAATGAGGTACTTATATAGAGTAACTAGATAGAGGGTGCATTGAAGTTGGTAGAAAATTTTGCAAATTAGAATTTGTCAAGGGCATTTGATTGGGTATAAAAGACTGGAGCAAGCGTTTTCAATGCTTAGATGGGCAAAGAGTGGAAACCCTGGAGATCGAGAAATAGTTATAGTGTCAGTGGAGGTAAGTATTATTGGAAATACATTTTCAGTTTAGGAAAATGTTAATTTTTTTAAATCTGTAAATATTCTTCATTTACTATGAACAAGAAATAATAATTTAGAATGATGAAAGTTTTCTCATTGTTTTTGGTTACAGAATCTGTTGTTGTATTTGCTAACATTACTGAAACTAACCCAGTAAAATCAAACATAGTATAATTTATAACAATGAAGGAAACTAAAATATAATTTCATTCATCAGCTTGGCTGAGCTGTTATAGTCACTTGTACTGATTGTGCAACTTAATTTAAATGAAAAATTGAACAAAACTATTAAAGATGAAAATTGTTTCACTTTAATCTTTTTTGTAATGTACATTGATTTTTTAAAATCACATTTGATTTAATGATTGATGTTTTTGTTTAATTTAAAAACATCTACTAGTTATAGAAATGAATAACAAAAACATTATCAGTACCATTTTGTAGACTTAGCTTTAGACTATTTATATTCTAATAGGTTTTAAAACTGTTTTCATAGGTGTCGGAATATGACAGTTCTTACTGCTGCTGACAGTCGTGTAAATATTTTTCAAAAGAATAACATGTATGGCCTTAACATTTTGAAAGTCACTGAAGAAGATATTGCAACCTATAGCTGCACAGCAAAGAATATAGCTGGTGAAGCAAAGAGTACAGCAGTTCTTCGTTTTCAAGGTACTAACAATATAATCTTAACATATTCTTAAAACTTCTATCATAAATTTAAAAAAACATTTTAATAAGCAGATTTAAACATTTTTATTTCAGAACAACCTCCAGTGGTTAAACAGGCTTTACCCCAAAAAATGTTTGTTATGGAAGGTGAAAAAGTGAATCTAGAAGGAAAAGTTGTAGGATACCCTCCACCTGACATAACATGGTAAAGTTATTTACCTTTATTTTGGCATTTTCTTCTCAAACTAAATATGATATATGATTCAAAATGTGTTTACATGATAAACTAATAAAATTATTCACAAAAACAAATATCTCTGCAAACAAACTGTTAACCAAATTATTATTTATCGTTTTAATTATTAATTAATGAATAGTCATATTAGAACAACTACAAATTTTTAATTAAAGTGTGAGAAAAATATATAGTTTTTTGTTATTTGGAAGGCAACATTTTATAAAACAAAAACTATGAAAGCTTGAAGATATAAAAATAAAACAATTAATTTTATAAGAAATCATATTTATCAAAGGAATTGTTCTGCTAGATATTTTGTTAGCCAAATTCACCTCAACTTAAAGAAGTATTTAAAAATAAAGCATTACCTAAGTTTATACACGTTTTGCTTATTAATTTCAAGTTTATATTTTTAGTAATTGTTATTAGGACTTACAAGCCACGTTTTTTATGGATTCATTATATTTCATTTTGTTTTCACATGTACATTATGATTTGTACATTTTAAAAAAAATTAAAGGTATGAAACTCACCAAAATCCCAGTTGATCTTAAAATATTTAGTAACATGAAAATTTTTGAAATATTTTTCATAGTGTCAACTGCTTTTGAAATATTACAGGACAAAGGATGGTGAGCCAATCCAACCCAGTAATAAATTTAAGATGGAGCAGACACCCAATGGTATAGTTAGACTTGCAATAGAAGATGCAAAACCAGGTGATTCTGGAAACTATGCTATTGTTGCAAATAACAACAAAGGAGAAATCAGCAGTGAAAGCAATGTGTCAGTAGAGTGTAAGTGTCTTTCTGATAATATTCTACTACATTGGGAATTTGTAGCATTGGATAATAATGATATTAATTAATGCAGAGGCATGTGTTTAGATGTCATGTGCGACAGTTAAGCACATGTATATTTAATTGACAGTGAAAACCAGTCTATTCAGTTGTAATGTGGCCACAAATACACTTATGGCTGGAGGGTTATGTCATACCTCTTTATGAAAAAAAGGAAATTTGTATAACAAGATTGGTAACCAATGTAAGCCAAAGGACACAGTGTCTTCAAAAAGAAGCCTTTAAACTTCTTGAACTGAATGAAGATTTACAAGCCAGAAAGTTCACAATTATTCAGTCACATCTCAAAGTCAGTGGATATATTCATATGAAAGATGACTGAAGAAACCTAGAATCATTAATTCCATTTGATGTCAAGTCTCCCATTGCAGCTCCAGTGAAGTTTGTGTCAGTTTATAGCTGTGGAAATCAACCTATATGCACAGTGGAAAGTTTTTCAAGACATGTTGGCATAAGCATATTATAATGGAGATTGTGGTAATATGCAGCGGTGTGTGATAATACCATCACTTTCAGCATGATGGACGACTTGTGCCAGAAAGATGGTGCCCTTATTTATAGGCCCGGCATGGCCAGGTGGTTAGGGAGCTCGACTCGCAATCTGCGGGTCGCGGTTTCGAATCCCCGTCCCACCAAACATGCTAGCCCTTTCAGCCATGGGGGCATTATAATATGGCAGTCAATCCCAC